CGGAGGCATGGAGTCTAGACACAGCCGGTATGTCTACATTTGCAGCCTAATTCGAAATAGGGCTGCAAATGTCAGCATTCGGAATTGCAAATCAAGACCGGGATGTAAATAGCCCGTGCTTGATTTGTATCTTCCCCACCCCCCGCCATTTTTTGAAATTTACAAGCCTGGAATAACTGCCCACATCTACACGTGGCAGTGAGACAGGCGTTTGAAATAAAGCCCTAGGTCGAACTACCTCTTAAACCTCATTGCGTGTAGACACGGGCAGTTATTCTGGGCTTGTAAATTTCAAGAATGGCGCCCGGTGGGGAAGATGCAAATCAAGCGCAGGATATTTAAATCCTGGGCTTGATTTGCAATTCTGACTGCATTCATTTGCAGCCCTATTTCGAATTAGGCAGCAAGTGTAGACATACCCTAAGATAAGGCAACGTTGTGGGAGGATGACATAGGAGGAGGTCTCCATGGGTCCATCATTAGATCCTGCTCCTTCCATGGAGAGAACCCATAAATCCTGGGGTCATGTACCTCTGCTCTAACCACTAGCACCCACTCCCCTTCCAGAGCCAGGAAGAGAACCCAGGAATCCTGACTCCCAGCTCCCATCCCACTCTAATCACTTGCCCGCACTCCCCTCCACAGCCAGGGAGAGAACCCAGATATCCTGGTACCCGGCACTACCCTGATCCAACCACTAGCCCTCACTTCCTTCCCAGAATGAGGGAGAGAACTCCAGGTTCTCTGTCTCTTGGGGATGGTACAGGGGGTGAGGGACAAGGCTTGAAGCAGTGGAACGGGGTGGGGGGGAGGAGCTGGGGTGGCATTGGGCTGTGGGAAGCACTCATCCCATCACACACATTCTGGGTTTCCAGGGCACAGGCTGTGATGAGTTGGGGTTAGGGGCCCCCCTTGGGCCGTGTGGTGCAGATTTAAGGGGCATGAGGGGCCAAAGTCGGGGCTGGGGGGGCTGACACTGTCTGCAGAGGGGTGACCCAGAGGAGCCGCACCTCTGAGGAGGAAGGAGACAGACTCACAGGCAGGGGTATGGAGCCAGGGGATGCTTTGAAACTTTATTGGTGCAGAACACACAGCAGAGAAGGAGCAAATCTGGGTTTGTGGTGCACAGTGTTGGCCTAACCTGACCCCAACATGGACCCTGGGGACTGCCCTGATGTATCACCCTCCCCCCTCCTGCCTGTATGTCACGCCCTGAACTGGAGTCCCACCGCCTTACGCCCTAGCTAATGCATCTGCTGGACTGGAAAGTGGGGGTCAAGGGAGAGATTCAGGAGAAACCCAGGCCCCAGTTACCTGGGTGTGGGCACCCTGTAAATGAGGAAAGAGGGAGGGGGTAATGACAGTGCAAAACCCGTGCCCAGATACCTGGGGGATGGACATCTTGAAATGAGAAATAGGAGTATGTCTACACGACAAAGTTAATTCAAACTAACAAACGTTAGTTCGAATTAACTTTGATAGGCGCGCCACACGCGAACCACTAGTTCGAACTTAATTTGAACTAGCGGAGCGCTTAATTCGAACTAGGTAAACCTCATTCCACGAGGACTAACGCCTAGTTCGAATTAACTAGTTCGAATTAAGGGCTATGTAGCCAGCGCCACACGCGAACCACTAGTTCGAACTTAATTTGAACTAGCGGAGCGCTTAATTCGAACTAGGTAAACCTCATTCCACGAGGACTAACGCCTAGTTCGAATTAACTAGTTCGAATTAAGGGCTATGTAGCCATTTAATTCGAACTAGTGGGAGGCTAGCCCTCCCCAGCTTTCCCTGGTGGCCACTCTGGGCACCACCAGGGAAACTCT